CTTTCAACATTTTTAAATGAAAACAAAATCTTTGATCAATTTCAATCTGGCTTTAGGTCTCGGCACAGCACCGAAACTGCCCTTATTAAAGTAACCAATGATTTGCTGATGTTTGTAGATGCTGGGAATTGTGTTGTTTTGGTGCTTCTTGATCTAAGCACAGCATTTGATACAGTGGATCACAGGATTCTTCTTGACCGTTTGAATCAGTTGGTGGGCATTAGGGGGAATGCTCTGAAGTGGTTCTCTTCCTACTTACATGAAAGAACTTTTGCTGTGGAACTAGGGAATTCTATATCATCCTCTCAGCCTGTTTTATCTAGGGTTCCTCAGGATTCTTGTCTTGGCTCTGTCCTGTTTTCCTTATATATGCTCCCACTGGGATTAATCTGTCATAAACATAATGTGACGTATCACTGTTATGCAGATGACACCCAGCTGTATCTTCCTTTGAAATGTGATGATGACTCCAAACTCACTTCGTTGCTCGATTGTCTGGATGAAGTAAAGATCTGGATGGCATCTAGTTTTTTGCAGCTAAATGAGTCTAAATCGGAGGTGGTGATCTTTGGTCCTTCGAACGTAGCTGAAAAGCTTGCACTTCACCTTGGCCCCTTAGCCACCAATGTCAGCACGCAAGCCAAGAACCTTGGGGTGATTTTTGATTCAGAGCTGAAATTTGATAGACAAATCAATGCTGTGGTTAAAGGTAGTTTCTTTCAACTGAGGGGCACTGCCAAATTGAAGAGTTTCTTGAATTTTAAAGATTTGGAGACTGTGATTCATGCTTTTATTTCATCCAGACTGGATTATTGCAATTCTTTATATCTGGGGCTCTCCAAGAATCTGCTTGCTCGGCTGCAATTAGTGCAAAATGCAGCGGCCAGACTGTTGACTGGCACGAGGAAATGCTCTAGTATATCTCCGGTGCTGGCCTCTCTGCACTGGCTGCCTGTGGATTTTAGAGTGCAATATAAGGTCTTGCTAATGGTTTTTAAAGGGTTACATGGTCTTGCCCCTGAGTATATCTCTAGCCTGTTACAATGGCACTGTACTGTTAGACCGCTAAGATCGTCTCAGAGTCTCATTCTGAATGTCCCGAAATCAAGATTAAAGGCTAAAGTTATCAAGCCCCTGATTAAAAAACCTGACCTCAATCCCTGTCAACTGTCCAACTACAGGCCAATATCAAACCTCCCCTTTATTTCCAAGGTCCTTGAAAAGGTTGTAGCACAGCAGCTATGCTCATACTTACATAGGAATAACATTCATGAAATGTATCAGTCAGGATTTAGGCCTCATCATAGCACAGAGACAGCA